ATATGTTGACTGAAAGGTACGGGTAAATGCATATGTTGATTAAAAGGTACGGGTAAATGGGTATTTATGTTGATTGAAAGGTACGGGTAAATGGATATTTATGTTGATTGAAAGGTACGGGTAAATGGATACGTTGATTGAAAGCTACGGGTAAATGTATTTTTATGTTGCTTGAAAGGTACGGGTAAATACATATGTTGATTGAAAGGTACGGGTAAATGTATATGTTGATGGAAATGTACGGGTAAATGCATATGTTGATTGAAAGGTTCGGGTAAATGCATATATATGTTGATTTAAACAAAAGGGTAAATGGATACGTTGATTGAAAGGTACGGGTAAATGCATATGCTGATCGAAAGGTACGGGTAAATGGATATGTTGATGGAAATGTACGGGTAAATGCATATGTTGATTGAAAGGTTCGGGTAAATGCATATATATGTTGATTGAATGGTACGGGTAAATGTTTATTTATGTTGATTGAAAGGTACGGGTATATGCATATTTATGTTTATTTAAAGGTACGGGTAAATGCATATTTATGTTAATTGAAGGGTACGGGTAAATATATATTTATGTTGATTGAAAGTTACGGGTAAATGCATATTTATATTGATTGAAAGGTATGGGTAAATGCATATTTATATTGATTGAAAGGTATGGGTAAATGCATATTTATGTTGACTGAAAGGTACCGGAAATGGTATATTTAATATTCATGCTGATTGAACGATACGTGTTAATGTATATGTATGCTGATTGAAAGAACGGGTAAATTTACATGTTGATTTAAAGGTACGGGTAAATGTATTATGTTGAAAGAAAGTTATGGGCATATGTTGATTATTTCAAAAGATCAACGCCAGAAACAGTAACAGTCTCGATTATCCGCCGAATTCAAAACAGATTCCATTGGATGTTTAAGGCAAAAGAGCTGTTAAAATATGTTATGAATGAATCACTGAAAATCGGTAATGACATCATGTGTTTCGTGAAAAAGGGAAAGGATGACCTACCAGTAGCACCCGCCACAAAATTTGTACTCAATTCAGTTTATTCATATATAACTGTGAAGCCATATGCCCATAGTACAGAATACTTAACAATGTGGAAGCGGTTAAAATTGTTGTAGAGATTCCTTCCTAATAGCATGGCATTATATCTAAATAGAGATAGGTTTCGTACGGTCGTTTTGCTCACATGTGGCATTAAAGAGATAAACTGGTATTTATTTGGATGGACATAATATTTTTGCTAAATACTTTTTTGCTTAACTTTAACTATTACATTAGAAGTACTATTTTTAACATCAAGTAATCTTTTTTACAATCGTATAAATGTACAGATTCAATGTCTTTATCCTCTGCAAAACCCCACATTTCCGAACCATAGGAAGGAATAAGAGCTCTGTTTTGTGTCAAACATTTATAAGAAAGATTTATAAGCTCAGTCGCTAAAATGTTTAAACGTTTGTAAAATTAGTAACATAAATATTTTATATGTTCAGGATATAATTGGACACCATCATAATTTCTTATAATTTGAGCTGCATGCTCATAAATAACAAAAAAGAACAAAAAAGGGTTTAATATGCATCCTTGGCGTACACCAGTATGGCGGATAAAAGAATCTGAATACATGCCGTTTTTGTTTAACTTCCTTATAAATACCAAAAAACAATTTGCCCAATTTTAACTGACACAATGTGAAAGTCATACCATAACTTGCCTCTTCAGACTGAATCGAATACTTTAGAAAAGTCTACAAATATAGCGTACAGTTTTCTACGTCTGCGTTGAATATATAATAATAAATGTATCTAAATGAGCCTGGAGGATAAACATATTAGCAGTGGTAGAATAACCTTGTCGAAATCCTGCTTGTTCCTCCTCGGACTTTTCAAGTTTAAAATGCCAAGCGTTTATTAATAATACTAATACATAATATGTATTATCTTACATGAATATTCTGGTGAGTGTAATGCTATAATTTTCAACATCTGTCACTGAGCCTTTCTTGCGAATTGAAACGATAAGAAAATCTTTTGGAAAGTAAGAGGTATCCATTATTGTATTAAATAATATTTTCAAATACGGCAGGATCAAGAGAGTATTTAAATAATTATGTTAGTAGTCCATCAATTCCAGGACTTTTCAAGTTTGTCAGATTTTGAATAGCGGATTTAATTTCTTCATTTGAGATTGGGGAATCGAAAATTTCCGTTGCAAAATTGGTTTGATCAGTGTGAATAAGAGTCTAAATGTTGTCTGTGAAATCATCACCGCAAAAAACATTTTTGAAATAATTAAACCACTTATGAACTTCTTCAAGGTCGTCTAAATACCTTCTTCTAGTTTCTGTTTCTAGCCATTAATTTTTCTTCTTCTACAAATTACTTGTTTTTCGAATCAGTATACTCAGCAAGTGAATCTGTATCCTTTATTTTCCTGAAATGGTTTAAAAGAATGAATCTTTCCTTCTTTTATAACTCACATTCCCATTCAAAGCACTGTTTACTTTCTCTGTTTAGGGGTTACTTCCCTTTTCATTACATTCCCTGCATATGCAAAAGCTTTTGTAAAGAACGATACACTTTCATCACTATTCTTTTGAAAGAGGCATGCGAAAGTGTCTGATAACAGGCGTTCTTGGAAAGTTATCCAATTTAAACATTGAATGGCTATGGTGAACATGATCAAATGATGATTTTCCACATGAATGAAGCGCTCGTACAGACATGTTGATAGGCAGATGCTGTGATTCGTGGCGTGACTCAATATCAAAGTTTTCACACAAGTCAAATCTGTCTATAGTGCGAATAATGTAATCAATAACACTTGCCCAAGCATTGCCAACAAATGTAAAGTCATCTTCCCCAAAATCACTTTCACAGAGGCCATTCATAAATTTTAAACAGAACATAAATTAATAAAACCTTTTCCAAAAGTAATAAGAGCTGTATCTTATGAATATATACACAGATTAAATTTGCCCAATAGATAATCCCAGTATGAAGTAACCTGACCATGGGGTGTTCAAGTATATCATCCTCTACATAACCTAGCTCTTAAACAGTCCTTGCATTAAGGTCCACCCCCCCCCCCCCCCCACCCCCCTAAAATGAACGAAACGTCACTAACAACACCTAAAATGTCAAGCAGTTCATCATTAAATAGCAATATACCATTCTTAGATCAAACATAACTGTCGTACCAAGTAGATCCTTCTTCGTAAATATACACACAGCAGTATATCACGTTGATGACCAAACAGTGACTTGTCAAGTACACCACTTTCTGTGATCCATGAATGTTTTACATGATCCATAAGATTAATGATTTCATGAGAACACAAATTTCATCTGAAAGATTTTCCAAAATTTCCAATTTGTCTGCTTTTTTTTTTTATAAAGTTGGTACATCCGCAGAGTGTATCTTCAAAATTCAGTTTCTGGATTTCATTTTGTATAAAAAGATGTTAGTTGCCTGACGTCGTAGAAAAGTTCTACTGCCATACGACGGCGATCGGTGATGGACCCGGATATCCAGTGACACGATAGCGCATTTACTTTTGTTGAAAATAAAGACGATATGTTAATTTTTAATTACGTATGCTGTGTACAAGTGTTTAGATTCTGTTACACATAAGCATACTAATGAAAAACGGTCAAGAAACACGATCCTATTGCAACACAGTGTGGGCACTTTTTATGCAGCGATTCAAACATTTCTGTTGTAGTTCTTTTGTTTGTTTGTTTGTTTGTTGTTTAACGTCGCACGCAGCAATATTCCTGCTATATGTCGGCGGTCTGTAAATAATCGAGTCTGGACCAGACAATCCCGTGATTGACATCATGAGCATCGATCCACGCAATTGGGATACGAGTGTTGTAGTTGACTCAGCATACCAGTAATTGATAAATGCTACTTTATCTTTATTTACTTAATTTATGATGAAACTCATCGAAACATCGACACATTTCAAGTAAATGAAAAACGACAACGCCAGAAAATAATCTGTTTCGATTTGCCAACGAAACAGTTTTCATTGGGCGGGAGAGGCAAAATAGCGGTAAAAATATACCACTGAAAATCAGTGATGACACCAGGTGTTCGCGAAAAAGGGAAGCATATAAAGTAACGGGTACATGTATGTTAATTGAAAGGTTCCTGTGGGTGTATGTTGATTGAAAGGTACGGGTGTACGTATGTTGATTGAAAGTCACGGGTATATCTATGTACGGGTATGTATACTGATAAAAAGGTTGATCAATAAAAGGCACGGTTCAACGCATGCTTATTCAGGGGATCCAAGATTTCACTTACACGATCCGCTACCCCTTACGATTACGATCAGACAAATCACTGGATCTCTGCATCCACGTACGTATGTATTACGGCTTCATTCGTCTTCCAGCACGGATACTTAAAGCAACTGAAAACCTTGTTTTATGAAACTGATCAAGGACAAATTGAGCTAACACGGTAATATTCGTAACATTTCGAGTCTCAACCCAACTTCTACAAAAGTTCACGTATCCAAATGCGTGTTACGAGGGAACACTGTTGCTGGTGAATGTTAAGAGTGAACACTGTTGCCAATGCAACGCTGTCACGGAGTAAAATCATATTAAAACATATATAATATGGATATTATAGTACTAATATAACATTAGAAGATTGTCGAACGACTGCTGGGTGATTGATTTGGGTTTAACGCCGCCTCGGAAAGGTTTTCAGTTATATCATTCTGTCATCTTGGTGTGAAAGCCTAATATGATGCAGGTATTTGACGTTTACCACTTTGGTAAAACCTACGGCTATGGGTAGGGCGCTGACAAGAGTAGAAACATAATCATGGTTAGCCGGGACTCGACGACTGTGCCACCGTTTACCACCAACACACAAAACCCTCAAAAACTTCATCCCCTCCGATTGCCATAACATCGTTAGTTCTAAGAAGCAGTATTAATGCGAAATAGTTCTATTGGCACTTACCTCTCATGGTCATTTCCTTATTCAAGTCCACCACGACATGCCCCTCTAAGAACTGGCCGGGGTTATACACACCTTGAGGGTTGTTTAACGTTATTTCAAATATGTTCAGTTTACCCATAGTTGAAAAAAATATATTTGTCAGGAACGCTGTTCTGTCTGGACCGTTAAAGTTCTACACATCCCTTCCGAGTCTGACAACACGCTGGACCTTCCACCAAGCGCGCTACACACAAGTGAACACACGTTTATGTCAGTTCGGTAATATCACCACCTGTTTAATTCACAACTGTGTTGCCCAAGCTTCGCCAATGACAATGGTTCCATTCGATATGACTGGAATTGAGTTACAGAACAGGTGTCAGACAGTTTTCTGCTCACTGATCAGTGGAGCGCATTTGCGCGAAACGGACCGTGTAAATGTCAGTCGTATTGTGAGCTCAAACCAATAATTGTTGATGCCAGCTTGCGACTCAGATCTTATCATTCTATTACTATCGAACGGTACATCCATTTCTTTGAACACAAATCATCTTTTTTGTATTTTGTTGTTTGTAACAATGGAAAAGTCGTCTTGAGGCTGTGGCTGATGAACACAAGAATTCACTTCCTCGTTGCCATGGTAACTAGATCAACATCCTGACACGTGGGAATTATATCTCGTCGTATTGACAGCGTCGAGGATTGCAGCCTTGTCGTCTAGCTGTAAATGTATACACAGCCACAACGCGTTGTCATATCGCCCATCGATGCATACTCGTCAAGGATCATCAAAGACATGAACATGTTAGATCGGAAGCATAGTTACACCCTCTCTGTTTATATAATAACTAAACATTGATTTTTAGCATATCTTCTCTATGTCTGTCAAAAGTAATTATTAATGCTGAAGAACACAATTGTTATCATAAAAGTTCAGTGAATAAGAAATATCTTGAGATTATTTTTCTGACTAGTGAAGTGCAATCGTTCCGGAAGTCAATTCTTGCTATTTAAGACATTAAAAACCACTTTAAATTCTGCATAGCCAGACGGCCTTCATAATGAGATACGGCGGTGGGTCAGCCTAGTGGGTAAAGTGTTCGCTCGTCACGCCGAAGACATGGGTTCGATTCCCCACATTGGTACAATCTGCGAAACCCACTTCTGGTGTCCCCCGCCGTGACACTGCTTGAATATTGGTAAAGGCGGCGTAAAACCATACTCACTGAGTCACAAGAGATAGTAAATGTTTGTCCACTCATACTGATCATAACGAGAAATAATAAGGGAGAACAGAGATGTAATGATCATCTTTAATTGACTTGCCTTTGTATGTGTTTGTGATGGGTGCCACCCGTGGGGCGGGTCACGCTCACCTTTTCGCGAACACCTGGTATCATCACTATTTGATAATCATTCATAAACACATGCTCATGATAAAGTCGTACAATCGACTCTGTTTTTGGCAGAGATTCCTATTAAGTATGGATGGGGTTTTGTGGCTTATATTTACACTGAGTGAGGTACTTTCAACAGTTATCGTATTGTCGTTATATCAGACACGGCAGCTTTAAGTGGGAGGGAATTCGAAGATCAAGTGATGCGAAAGGTTAACACTTACAGCTAATGAAGCTATGATAATAATTTGGGTGAACCAGGGATGCTAACACGTTACGAGACGTACTCTATATATCGAATTGCTTCGCCTCAAACCACACAAATACAAGGGTTATCATCAGTCGGATACACTCGGTTTATTCCGCTCGATAATACATAATACCTCGGACAGCTATGACGTGGTGACATTGTATGAATTCTCTGTAAACCATTGTTACGTCAGATCGCGACGCACATACATGTAGTTCTTACACCACGACGGAAAGTTTTGATGACGGGCTGTTCTGTGGTAAACAGAAATAAGAACTACGATTTGAACTGGACAAACACAAACTGAAATTATTGAAGCATATTAGCGCCACAGTCTAAAACAATAACATCTTAAAACATCCAGTCAGGATCTCGTGGTCGTGTTCATTTCCTAGTGATCATGCCTGTACCAGATAATTGAAAAATATAACAGGAGATGTAGACACTATGTATATAGTGAAGAATCTTTAAATTATAATTATATAAAAATATAGTAATCATTCTATTTTCGTTAGATGCACAACAAAATTGATTAAGACTTCAGATTAATACAGAATATGTAAATATTAATGATGGAGTCTGACTCGACTCATGTCTTTTATTCATGTGTGGCCACTGGTCCTTATATAGATAAAGTGCACATGTGCATATTAGAATGGTACATGGATTCATTGGTAACTTATATCATAGCATTCTAATGTTTGCAAAACTATGTCTTATTTCATACGTTTGACATTACATAAGTTTCTTGGTAACCTTACATCGCTTGAATACAGAAGCGTTCTAAATTTATACATATTCGGATTATGGCAACACATTTTAGGCAGATAGAGTGGTCTATGTTCTTCTATGAGTTACATATTAAGATAAAATGATATATTCATCTTCTATCCCTAGATTACAAAGAGGACATAAACGTGAACGTAATCAATCCCCGACCATCTCCCTTTCTTAACGTTCAATATCAACAACCCCGTTCTCAGTCTTATCAACATAATACGTTGTTTTCTGTCTGTTAATAGGGTGAGGTACTTATCAGGTTTGTTCAGGCTTTTAAACTTTTTAAATATGTTATATCTTAAATATGTTCTATAATACTATTCGGGGCGGTCGGGTGGACTAGTGGTTAAAGCGTTCGCTCGTCACGCCGAAGACACAGGTTCGATTCCCGACATGGGTACAATGTGTGAAGCTCATTTCTGGTGTCCCCCGCCGTGATATTGCTGGAATATTGCTAAAGGCGGCGTAAAACCATACTCACTCACTCACTATAATACTATTCCATGATTGATGATATATATCAATTGTAAGCTGTTTATACAATCTAAGAAAAGCAAATGTTTCTCCAACACACTGAGCAATCCATTTAAATCCTCATCCATGACCAGGGCTCAGGAAATACACCACAATCAACTAGCGTGTTAAATATAATCATTAAGAATGGAAATGTGACATTTCAATGTCAAGGGGACTTGCCATTCTCTTAATGGTTAGTTGCTGTCTGAATCTCTTGATCCATGATGGGCGACTCCAGAATGCTTTGATCAATAAAATCTAGGTCTTCAGCTACCCGACTAACGGGATCGGGTGATCAGGCTCGCTGACTTGGTTGATGCATGTCGTCGTATCCCAATTGCGTAGATCGATGCTTATGATGACAAGCACTGAATTGCCTGGTCCAGACTCGATTCTTACAGACCGCCGTCATATAGCCGGATTATTGCTGAGTGCGGCGTTAAACAACAAACAAACAATCTAAAAAAGATTTTACATGATCTCATTACCCCGGTCGCACGGGCTTGATACACTTCTCTGTTCTTTCCACTAATAGATGAGTCCTTGATACATGATTGAAGTTTTGTTTGTTTCATATGCTGATAATTCGATGTTGATACTTTGCATATATGTTTTTGTATTTATATCTCATGTAACAATAAATTCGTTTACTTTCCATTGACATTTTGTGGTGGAATCTTCTCGGATGAAGTGTAGCTTGTCGTTTAGCTTGCACAGAGTTCAAATTATAAAATCCAGTTTGTGGCTTGTTTCTGTTAACTACAGGTTTCTGCATACATTCAGCTGCATTGAGAATATTATCTAAAGGCATTTCTAAACCAACAGTCATAATAGTTTCTAATACATTTGTCCCTTCTTTAATAGAGGGGTAACAATCATTAAGAGTATATAAAATATCGTATTCTTGTTCACATCCCATGTGTATTTACACGATTTTTCTCTATTCTCGACATTTAAGCTTGGGTGTAAATTTTGTTTGGAATTATGGTCAGAGGGAAATTTTAAGAATAGAGTCAGTGGCATATATTTGGAATCGACCTTACAGTCCACATGAAATTCATGACAAAACGAATGTGCATCAACAGAGCCAATAAACTAATCGACCACACTGCGCCCTTGTTGAGATATATAGGTATACCTCCTTCCTAAATCTCCACATGATCTGCTATTAAATATATGTACAAATTATGGGTAATACATAACTCGAGTAGCTTACGCCCGAAGGCCTTAACAACATTATCATGGGATTGTCTATGATTTGCAGGAGCTGACTGTTCCTCGGAAAAATCGGTAAATCGAGGCCTGGTTCAGGTTTCCGTAAATGATGACCTCACAGTCATGGTCGGCATGCACAGTCAGCTACTGGTGTCTCTGATATAAATATATAATAATAACAATTGCTCATTGTTTTCTTTTTCCTTTTGAGAATTGATTTCGAGTTCAGTTTGCTTGTTCTAAAGTTCGCTTTAGTTCAGCTTTGGCAAGAAACTGAAGGGCGGTCTTCATGTCACATCGTAGGTGGTCCTTCAGTCGGATGATTCTAACTGCAGCCAAGTGGCCCTTAAGTGTCAATAGTTTGCGTCAATAACTCATAAATGTTTGGGTGTGGTTTTGCGGTTCTCTCCTTAAAACGTCCAAGGAAGCCTTCAAAATGGTTGTTGGTTCGAAGACCAACGATGTCATGCCGATACGAGCAGACAATCGGTCGTCGTAGTCTACCCAAGTTAGGTTACATAATCAGTGGAGAGGGGATCTGCTGGTGGTCTTGTCTCTCGTCAAAGATTTCTATCCAGTTATCCCGAACTTGGTCTAAGGAGAAAAAGGTTAGGGCTGCGGCTCGTCAGACGTGGGCTTTAATCTGGGCACCACCTTGTAGGCTTCAGCTAATCCTTTGGCCACTTCATGTCGCCAAATATTCGGTATGTAGTGTAAGAATTCCTTCAACGAGTCTCAGCGTCGGGAAACACTTGCTCTAAGGCAGCAATAGCAGCAGCAGCTTCAAAGTCCTTCTGGGTACATTCTGGTGTTCGTTCTACATCAACTGTTTGCTGTTTGGAAACTGTCAACTGTTTGTCCAAAGGCTTGAACAGGCGTACAAAGCAAAGGTTGCATTGGATCTTTTGGCAAGAGACAGTATACAACAGAATACATCTAACAGACAGTGGACCAGATACAACTGTTTCCACAAGCTGCCTTCTAATTTAACCATGTTGTTTTATTAAATAGATATCTTCACATGTAACGACAACAATCAAACAAAAATATAAATAAAATGAAAACTCAGCCAAGACAGCAATTGAAAACTATCTCCATTTAAGGAACACATTTTATGTTCCTCCAGCACTCGACAGTCATTGTTCTAAATGGGGGGTGTACAACCTAGTGCCATTCTCCTTGAGGCGATTTGAATGTTGTGCGAAATGGGATGTTGGCAAATAGGTACCAAACCGGTATGGGGTTTTTTTAGCCTCCATCCTGTAAACCCGTGGTTGACGGTATAACAAACGATCCTCACAGTCAACGCACGATACCATACCATTGTGACCACCCGATTCTCATTTCAGTCGGCCCTGAGGAAAAGCATGGCATGGCATGTATGGACAGCCAGTTGATAGGTTACATTCACAATGCTTACAGGCCTAGGCATCCCATTATTCATTAGAATTGTTTTTTAACAATTATTTTGCATGTAATATATATGCAGTTTTTATTCTGATTGAATTAAAGTCAATAATTCAGTTTTAACAATACTTCACTTCAAGTTGTT